CTTCTCCTATCATTGTGATGTCCATTGCGTACACGTTATCTCTAGCAGCGACAACCTGTTTCATTGTGATGGCATTGGCGTGGATTGTTAAAACCAGGGTCTCACGTAGATCATTTGTTTTGCAGTTGATGGGAAACCCCAGTTTTCTATTGGCTGACGAGGTTGAAAAAACGAAAAGGGGTGTAACGAGGGATGCGAAGGGAACTAAATCGTTTGCAGTATTCCAAACCTTCTAGGTATGGAAACAGGTTCGGAGCCGAAGCTACAGTGCCAGTAAAATGTCAAGGGTTGTCGAAAGTCTCATGTACCTGAAATTTGTTTTGCATTTAGTGCTGAGGCAAAAGCGGGGGAGTGTCGCACGCCAACTTCCACAGCCAACCAGTCCACCTCGCCTACAAAACTAGGTAACTCAAGTCTCAAATGTTTTGCAATTGATAGCAAAATATCTTACTTGAGATCCTGGTTTTAAAGACTCAAACGACTACCAGCGAGGTAATTCTACCCAGTTACCACTTCTTTGCACCGTGCAGCTACCTGTCATCCAGTCAATTCGCGGGTTGTAGCGTCGCATCCAATCATGTCCCGGTAAAATGTTGTGCCTATCCAGTGTCGTTGCGAGCATTTCCTGTGTAAATCTGAAGCACTCCTCGCAGCGAAGCTTCACTCTTTCCACTTTCTCCCGTATAGCTAGCGACGTGCAACCAACTAAGCGTGCGTCGACCTTCGGTAAACAGCGACTAAGCATCAACAGCAGCTTCTGTGCTATTGTGGCATTAACTAAACAATGACTTGTTCCTCCGTCAATAAAAATCTTCGCTGCTACCCCCTGTATTTACCCGTGAATCAATATTGGGCAATATGTCGTTGTACCCTCCTTATTCAGCCGAGCAGGGGGTGGACGAGCAGCGAGTCTCGTCAGTAGTGAGCCCGTAATCTGCCGGCTGTTGGCTTTTTTTTTGTCTCCTAGACTCCCTCCTGCTCTGCTCCACAGTGCCTTAGCTCCTCTGGGCATTCGCTCTTGCGATGGCCCGACCTGTTGCAAGCGAAGCAGCGCCCCTTGAATGGCGAAGCAGCTGCGTTCACCGCAACGGCATGGACAGTGGCATGTACGATCGGTCCCCAAGGTCGATGTCTGTAGTATGACCCCGATCTCGGACGGCGTAAAATATCGATCTCAGCGAGCGCTAGGATTTCATTGAAGTTAAAGATTCCACCAAGTATAATTTTGTGCGAGATGCCCGGCTTTAGTCTGCCAACGTAACGATCCACTGGCTCCGCCCCGTGCATGTATAAGACTTGCTCGCACAACTCCAGGTAATCGCTAGCCCCGTGGGCCCTTCCTCTTACGATAGTGGCTCGTAGGCGTGTGGCGACGTCACAATGACTTGCCACCACTACATGGTAGGGCCCCGCAGCAACGAAATGGCGTACCGAATCTTCGCTGCATCCGACGTGGCATAATTCACGTAAAAAACACGTTCATTGAGAAAATCCACGATTGAAATGTCGAACGTCCATGCTGACTAGGGTTGAAGCAGGGCAAGCATTGCGACTTGAGTGGCATTGGCTGACCGATGTCATCGTTGCCGGCAGATGCAGTAAATTCGACGTGACGACAAGCTCCGCAAGCTTTGATTATGCCTGGTACGAACCTGGTTCTCTCCAGGCCTGGCATCGATTAGGCGACGCCATCACTGATTGCGCCTGAGCGATGTCCCACGCTATCGTGCTGTGATGGTGTGCCCGATGAGATGGCAATCGGCTCCTCCGATTGCGCAGATGCATTTGCGGGTGTTGGTGTTGGTGCATTCACCATTGATTGCCATAGGGCGAAGGCGCATTCTGCTGTGAGCGTCGCAATTTCGAGAGGACCCCCAGAGCCGGCAGCTCCAACTCCGCTAGCACCGCCAGCTCCAGAGTCCCCAGCTCCAGCAGCTCCAGTCTCAGTGCTCCCAGAACAACCAGTCCCGGCAGCTCCAGTACCCCCAGTACGAGCACCTCCAGGACGAGCAGCTCCAGCACCCCCAACTCCAGCCGAGCCACGAGGACGGCGAAAGCGCCGGACGTACCAGTCACGAAGCTGCTGCGGTGTGAGAGACTGCTCAGCACCCCGAACCGGAGCACCCCCAGACGCAGCAACCCCAGGCTCCGTAGGCTCAGTAGCAGCACCCCCAGGCTCAGTACCCTCAGGCGCAGCACCCCCAGGCTCAGCACCCCCAGTCGCAGCACCCCCAGGCTCAGCACCCCCAGGCGCCGAACTCTCAGGCACAGTACCCTCAGCTCCAGCACCCGCAGTCCCAGCACCCGCAGCCCCAGCACTCCCAGGCCCAGCACCCGCAGGCTCAGCACCCCCAGGCTCAGCACTCCCAGCAGCACCACCTGCAGCAGCACCTGAGTCACCTGTGACCTCGACAGGCTCAGCGACGGGAGGAGGGTCTACCTGAGAGACACCTGAAGGAGCAGGACCCTGAGGGGGAAGGGGGTCTACCGGAGGGGGACCAGGAGCGAGGAAAAGCGGCGGGGGAGGGAGAGGGGCAGTGCGGTAGGGGAAGAGACGGTAAAAAGGGACCGACTCGTCAAAGGTGACGTCCTGAGAGGCAAAGACCCGGCGCGAGGTGGGGTGGTAAAACTGCCAGCCAGGCGCGTCAGGGACAAAGCCAAGGAAGACACAGGGAAGCGTGCGGGAGGAGAGCTTGTCCGCGGACGTATCGCGGACAAGGGCACGAGCACCCCACACCCGGAAGCGCGACGCATCGCCAACCTCCCCCGTCCAACGCAGCGGTCGGTAGGTCCTAGGGACCTCCTGCTCTGATACCATATCAACAGAACTAGGCAAGAATGAATGCATTGAAAGAACAGTTGGGTACAAGTAGCTAACCCTAGTTGGGTTTGTACCCTGTATTGGCTACCCCACTACAGCCTACCCACATATAAATAACACATTACAACTTAACATTACCATGTACCAGCTCGTTAGAGGGGGGGGGGGGGCGGGGGGGGTATATTGATTAGCGACAAAGGGGGGGTCCTCACAAAACCTGCCGCAATAAGAGTCTCCCTACTCCTTCAAGAGTCCCGGGGACCCTCTTACCGGCGGGTCCTATAGGTGGCACTTTACGGTAGCTGAAAGTACCGCGAGATTTCATCGAGGGAGAAATTCTCGCGATATTCTTCCGTATTGCAGCTACTCGTTAACGGCAATAATAATGAATCCGTAAGAAAAAAGGGGTGTTATAGAAAATCACCCCAAAAGGGGGGTATAGTACAATCGATGTCGCCTATACCGTATCCCCCCAGATATAAGCGCCACCCTAGGATAAGCGCCTGGTGCTTTTAATTGGAATATGGCGCTTATATCCCCTCCTCGATTATAAGCGCACCCCCTGAAGGCTTACGTATTATAAGAGCCACTATTTGTATTAGTTTTAACAAAGTTACTGGAATCTCTGTAGCGAAACACACTATTTGCATCCTCACATTGTGAAATTTCGACCCTTCACCCTCGCGCGACTCACTGCCTCACCCTCGCGCGACTCATTGACTGCGCGTCCAGTCAGAATGAGCTGTCATGGGGCGAAATGACTCATTCTGACTGTATGTTTTGGCACCTTGCAAACTTGCGCGAGATTCTTCTTCACACCTACTATGATCTTGACTCGATTGAAATCGCAATGACAAGATGAACACTTTGGAGTGAAAACAACTAGATTTCATATATGTCATTATATAAGCGCCGGCGCTTATAAAAATCCTCGATTATAAGCCCACCCCCCTAAAAAAACATGTTTTATTATTGCCCCCCATGGGGGCATATCCGGGGTGTGACGGTAACACCCGCCCCACACAAGCTACCCGGGGGGTGTACAATTTCGGGGGGTGTTTTGTCCGGGAGAATACGGTATAAGCGCAGGCGCGCTATATCCAGGTAATATGGTACTGTCATACCCCGGATATACCCCCATGGGGGGCACTATTACCGTAAAACATGTTTTTTTTAGGGGGTGGGCTTATAATATAGTAAATTTATAAGCGCCGGCGTTTATGTTACCGGTACGTCAAAAATGAAATTTGTTTTTAAGTATACCAAATCGAAGCACTCTCAAAGGCGAATTCACCTGAGTCGAGAACGTTCGGAACTGTGCATGCTATGCGCGTGAAACGGCCAACAAGGCGTGGCAACACGCCTTCCACGCCTTGTTGGCCAGGCCAGGTTCATCGAACGTGAACCTGGCCCATGCCAGCGCACACGTACCTCGCATCACAGCGGCCCAATCAGGGTTGCATGCGATCGTGGGCACGTCGTGGTTCAGCCACGGCGTGCCCATCAACAGCAAGATACCCTGCCACCGAGGCAAAGAGCTGCCCAGCTCAGCTCCTCTGCGGGGAATCTTGACTGTGGCCACACTTTCCCCGCAGAGGAGGCCGGGCCGCGAAACTGAAGGGGTCTCGGGCGAGGGCTTCATACGGCCCTCATTCTCAACTTTTGGTTCAGTTTTCTTCGTTCGTTTGGCCTGCCGTGGCCATGGCGGGCCTTCCAGGCACGCATTTCTTGTTCCCCCGCATTTCTTGCGGTAGGTCTGGTTTTCAAACCATCAGACCAATTTGGTCTGATAATGAGAGCATGATGTACACTATTTGATCGAAGAATACGTAACTGTTGTAATTGGAGTCAAGCAAAGGCTCAAAACAACAGCGATGATAAGATGGCATGTCGGTGCGCTATTTGTAGTACGCAAAGAGGGGCCTGTCGAAGCCACGGGTGGTTGAGACAGCAGCAGTGAGCTCCTCCACACGCTGGAAGCCAATCTGCTCAGCATGTAGCAGCAGCAGCAGTGCCCATGGTGGAGGGTGAATGCAGACAGAAGACTGAGAGGTAGCAGGTGCAGGTGCAGCGAGCAAGACAGCACTATATATCTGGACAGCACGTTAATTGGGAAACAGCAGAGCCAAAGCGCATGCATTGTCGTGCGAGAGAGGGGTGAAAGGGCACAGCGAGCAACCTTGTCGAGCAGCAGCTCTCGGAAATGGGTGGGGAAGATCTTGATGCGGCTGTAGTGCTCCTTGCTCTCCTGATGGCCGGCCAAAATGGGGCAGCAGAAACGTGCACGTGAACAATAACAGAGGTTGAGTGGACATACAGGAAAGCTCTTGATGCCTGTGGGTGCATGTGCATTCAACTGAGTGAGTGAGTGCGCGCACCTGAGTGAGTGAGTGCACGTACATGAGTGAGTGAGTGCACGTACGTGAGTGAGTGAGTGCACGTACTTGAGTGAGTGAGTGCACGCACCTGAGTGAGTGAGTGAGTGCACGTACCTGAGTAAGCCCCTGTTTCTTCTTATACGAGCTCCACGGCTGCGGCTCGAGAATGAGCACCCCTCCCTGCAGGCACGGGATAGCGACGGTGATTGCAGGGCAGGGAGGGTGCGTACAAGCGTGTGGGTTAGAGGGAACGAGAGAGTGGGAGAGTGTGTGTGGATGGGAAAGAGAAAAGGGGTGGAAGAGCAGCACAGCACAGCACAGCAATTCACAACGCTGTTAATCACTTCACACTTGATGCAGCAAGCTAGCATGTGGAGAAGCCAAAGGATGAAACGAAGGAAGAGTGGAGAATCACATCTGCATGCAAGGACAGGATGAAGAGGAGGGGAGAGGGTGTTACAGGGCGCAGCGCGTGGAAGAGGAGAGGGTGTTACAGGGCGCAGCGCGTGGAAGAGGAGAGGGTGTTACAGGGCGCAGCGCGTGGAAGAGGAGAGGGTGTTACAGGGCGCAGCGCGTGGAAGAGGAGAGGGTGTTACAGGGCGCAGCGCGTGGAAGAGGAGAGGGTGTTACAGGGCGCAGCGCGTGGAAGAGGAGAGGGTGTTACAGGGCGCAGCGCGTGGAAGAGGAGAGGGTGTTACAGGGCGCAGCGCGTGGAAGAGGAGAGGGTGTTACAGGGCGCAGCGCGTGGAAGAGGAGAGGGTGTTACAGGGCGCAGCGCGTGGAAGAGGAGAGGGTGTTACAGGGCGCAGCGTGTGGAAGAGGAGAGGGTGTTACAGGGCGCAGCGCGTGGAAGAGGAGAGGGTGTTACAGGGCGCAGCGCGTGGAAGAGGAGAGGGTGTTACAGGGCGCAGCGCGTGGAAGAGGAGAGGGTGTTACAGGGCGCAGCGCGTGGAAGAGGAGAGGGTGTTACAGGGCGCAGCGCGTGGAAGAGGAGAGGGTGTTACAGGGCGCAGCGCGTGGAAGAGGAGAGGGTGTTACAGGGCGCAGCGCGTGGAAGAGGAGAGGGTGTTACAGGGCGCAGCGCGTGGAAGAGGAGAGGGTGTTACAGGGCGCAGCGTGTGGAAGAGGAGAGGGTGTTACAGGGCGCAGCGCGTGGAAGAGGAGAGGGTGTTACAGGGCGCAGCGAGTGGAAGAGGAGAGGGTGTTACAGGGCGCAGCGTGTGGAAGAGGAGAGGGTGTTACAGGGCGCAGCGCGTGGAAGAGGAGAGGGTGTTACAGGGCGCAGCGTGTGGAAGAGGAGAGGGTGTTACAGGGCGCAGCGCGTGGAAGAGGAGAGGGTGTTACAGGGCGCAGCGCGTGGAAGAGGAGAGGGTGTTACAGGGCACAGCGCGTGGAAGAGGAGAGGGTGTTACAGGGCGCAGCATGTGGAAGAGGAGAGGGTGTTACAGGGCGCAGCGCGTGGAAGAGGAGAGGGTGTTACAGGGCGCAGCGCGTGGAAGAGGAGAGGGTGTTGCAGGGCGCAGCGTGTGGAAGAGGAGAGGGTGTTACAGGGCGCAGCGCGTGGAAGAGGAGAGGGTGTTACAGGGCGCAGCGTGTGGAAGAGGAGAGGGTGTTACAGGGCGCAGCGTGTGGAAGAGAGAGGGTGTTACAGGGCGCAGCGTGTGGAAGAGGAGAGGGTGTTACAGGGCGCAGCATGTGGAAGAGGAGAGGGTGTTACAGGGCGCAGCGTGTGGAAGAGGAGAGGGTGTTACAGGGCGCAGCGTGTGGAAGAGGAGAGGGTATTACAGGGCGCAGCATGTGGAAGAGGAGAGGGTGTTACAGGGCGCAGCGTGTGGAAGAGGAGAGGGTGTTACAGGGCGCAGCGTGTGGAAGAGGAGAGGGTGTTACAGGGGGCAGCGTGTGGAAGAGGAGAGGGTGTTACAGGGCGCAGCGTGTGGAAGAGGAGAGGGTGTTACAGGGCGCAGCGTGTGGAAGAGGAGAGGGTGTTACAGGGCGCAGCGTGTGGAAGAGGAGAGGGTGTTACAGGGCGCAGCGCGTGGAAGAGGAGAGGGTGTTACAGGGCGCAGCGTGTGGAAGAGGAGAGGGTGTTACAGGGCGCAGCGTGTGGAAGAGGAGAGGGTGTTACAGGGCGCAGCATGTGGAAGAGGAGAGGGTGTTACAGGGCGCAGCGTGTGGAAGAGGAGAGGGTGTTACAGGGCGCAGCGCGTGGAAGAGGAGAGGGTGTTACAGGGCGCAGCGTGTGGAAGAGGAGAGGGTGTTACAGGGCGCAGCGTGTGGAAGAGGAGAGGGTGTTACAGGGCGCAGCATGTGGAAGAGGAGAGGGTGTTACAGGGCGCAGCGTGTGGAAGAGGAGAGGGTGTTACAGGGCGCAGCGCGTGGAAGAGGAGAGGGTGTTACAGGGCGCAGCGTGTGGAAGAGGAGAGGGTGTTACAGGGCGCAGCGTGTGGAAGAGGAGAGGGTGTTACAGGGCGCAGCATGTGGAAGAGGAGAGGGTGTTACAGGGCGCAGCGTGTGGAAGAGGAGAGGGTGTTACAGGGCGCAGCGCGTGGAAGAGGAGAGGGTGTTACAGGGCGCAGCGTGTGGAAGAGGAGAGGGTGTTACAGGGCGCAGCGTGTGGAAGAGGAGAGGGTGTTATAGGGCGCAGCATGTGGAAGAGGAGAGGGTGTTACAGGGCGCAGCGTGTGGAAGAGGAGAGGGTGTTACAGGGCGCAGCGCGTGGAAGAGGAGAGGGTGTTACAGGGCGCAGCGTGTGGAAGAGGAGAGGGTGTTACAGGGCGCAGCGTGTGGAAGAGGAGAGGGTGTTACAGGGCGCAGCGTGTGGAAGAGGAGAGGGTGTTACAGGGCGCAGCGTGTGGAAGAGAGAGGGTGTTACAGGGCGCAGCGTGTGGAAGAGGAGAGGGTGTTACAGGGCACAGCGCGTGGAAGAGGAGAGGGTGTTACAGGGCGCAGCATGTGGAAGAGGAGAGGGTGTTACAGGGCGCAGCGCGTGGAAGAGGAGAGGGTGTTACAGGGCGCAGCGCGTGGAAGAGGAGAGGGTGTTGCAGGGCGCAGCGTGTGGAAGAGGAGAGGGTGTTACAGGGCGCAGCGCGTGGAAGAGGAGAGGGTGTTACAGGGCGCAGCGTGTGGAAGAGGAGAGGGTGTTACAGGGCGCAGCGTGTGGAAGAGGAGAGGGTGTTACAGGGCGCAGCATGTGGAAGAGGAGAGGGTGTTACAGGGCGCAGCGTGTGGAAGAGGAGAGGGTGTTACAGGGCGCAGCGCGTGGAAGAGGAGAGGGTGTTACAGGGCGCAGCGTGTGGAAGAGGAGAGGGTGTTACAGGGCGCAGCGTGTGGAAGAGGAGAGGGTGTTACAGGGCGCAGCATGTGGAAGAGGAGAGGGTGTTACAGGGCGCAGCGTGTGGAAGAGGAGAGGGTGTTACAGGGCGCAGCGCGTGGAAGAGGAGAGGGTGTTACAGGGCGCAGCGTGTGGAAGAGGAGAGGGTGTTACAGGGCGCAGCGTGTGGAAGAGGAGAGGGTGTTAGAGGGCGCAGCGTGTGGAAGAGGAGAGGGTGTTACAGGGCGCAGCGTGTGGAAGAGGAGAGGGTGTTACAGGGCGCAGCGTGTGGAAGAGGAGAGGGTGTTACAGGGCGCAGCGTGTGGAAGAGGAGAGGGTGTTACAGGGCGCAGCGCGTGGAAGAGGAGAGGGTGTTACAGGGCGCAGCGTGTGGAAGAGGAGAGGGTGTTACAGGGCGCAGCGCGTGGAAGAGGAGAGGGTGTTACAGGGCGCAGCGTGTGGAAGAGGAGAGGGTGTTACAGGGCGCAGCGCGTGGAAGAGGAGAGGGTGTTACAGGGCGCAGCGCGTGGAAGAGGAGAGGGTGTTACAGGGCGCAGCGCGTGGAAGAGGAGAGGGTGTTACAGGGCGCAGCGTGTGGAAGAGGAGAGGGTGTTACAGGGCGCAGCGCGTGGAAGAGGAGAGGGTGTTACAGGGCGCAGCGTGTGGAAGAGGAGAGGGTGTTACAGGGCGCAGCGTGTGGAAGAGGAGAGGGTGTTACAGGGCGCAGCATGTGGAAGAGGAGAGGGTGTTACAGGGCGCAGCGTGTGGAAGAGGAGAGGGTGTTACAGGGCGCAGCGCGTGGAAGAGGAGAGGGTGTTACAGGGCGCAGCGTGTGGAAGAGGAGAGGGTGTTACAGGGCGCAGCGTGTGGAAGAGGAGAGGGTGTTACAGGGCGCAGCATGTGGAAGAGGAGAGGGTGTTACAGGGCGCAGCGTGTGGAAGAGGAGAGGGTGTTACAGGGCGCAGCGCGTGGAAGAGGAGAGGGTGTTACAGGGCGCAGCGTGTGGAAGAGGAGAGGGTGTTACAGGGCGCAGCGTGTGGAAGAGGAGAGGGTGTTATAGGGCGCAGCATGTGGAAGAGGAGAGGGTGTTACAGGGCGCAGCGTGTGGAAGAGGAGAGGGTGTTACAGGGCGCAGCGCGTGGAAGAGGAGAGGGTGTTACAGGGCGCAGCGTGTGGAAGAGGAGAGGGTGTTACAGGGCGCAGCGTGTGGAAGAGGAGAGGGTGTTACAGGGCGCAGCGTGTGGAAGAGGAGAGGGTGTTACAGGGCGCAGCGTGTGGAAGAGGAGAGGGTGTTACAGGGCGCAGCGTGTGGAAGAGGAGAGGGTGTTACAGGGCGCAGCGTGTGGAAGAGGAGAGGGTGTTACAGGGAGCAGCGCGTGGAAGAGGAGAGGGTGTTACAGGGCGCAGCGTGTGGAAGAGGAGAGGGTGTTACAGGGCGCAGCGCGTGGAAGAGGAGAGGGTGTTACAGGGCGCAGCGTGTGGAAGAGGAGAGGGTGTTACAGGGCGCAGCGCGTGGAAGAGGAGAGGGTGTTACAGGGCGCAGCGCGTGGAAGAGGAGAGGGTGTTACAGGGCGCAGCGCGTGGAAGAGGAGAGGGTGTTACAGGGCGCAGCGTGTGGAAGAGGAGAGGGTGTTACAGGGCGCAGCGCGTGGAAGAGGAGAGGGTGTTACAGGGCGCAGCGCGTGGAAGAGGAGAGGGTGTTACAGGGCGCAGCGTGTGGAAGAGGAGAGGGTGTTACAGGGCGCAGCGTGTGGAAGAGAGAGGGTGTTACAGGGCGCAGCGTGTGGAAGAGGAGAGGGTGTTACAGGGCACAGCGCGTGGAAGAGGAGAGGGTGTTACAGGGCGCAGCGTGTGGAAGAGGAGAGGGTGTTACAGGGCGCAGCGTGTGGAAGAGGAGAGGGTGTTACAGGGCGCAGCGTGTGGAAGAGAGAGGGTGTTACAGGGCGCAGCGTGTGGAAGAGGAGAGGGTGTTACAGGGCACAGCGCGTGGAAGAGGAGAGGGTGTTACAGGGCGCAGCATGTGGAAGAGGAGAGGGTGTTACAGGGCGCAGCGCGTGGAAGAGGAGAGGGTGTTACAGGGCGCAGCGCGTGGAAGAGGAGAGGGTGTTGCAGGGCGCAGCGTGTGGAAGAGGAGAGGGTGTTACAGGGCGCAGCGCGTGGAAGAGGAGAGGGTGTTACAGGGCGCAGCGTGTGGAAGAGGAGAGGGTGTTACAGGGCGCAGCGTGTGGAAGAGGAGAGGGTGTTACAGGACGCAGCATGTGGAAGAGGAGAGGGTGTTACAAGGCGCAGCGTGTGAAAGAGGAGAGGGTGTTACAGGGCGCAGCGCGTGGAAGAGGAGAGGGTGTTACAGGGCGCAGCGTGTGGAAGAGGAGAGGGTGTTACAGGGCGCAGCGTGTGGAAGAGGAGAGGGTGTTACAGGGCGCAGCATGTGGAAGAGGAGAGGGTGTTACAGGGCGCAGCGTGTGGAAGAGAAGAGGGTGTTACAGGGCGCAGCGCGTGGAAGAGGAGAGGGTGTTACAGGGCGCAGCGTGTGGAAGAGGAGAGGGTGTTACAGGGCGCAGCGTGTGGAAGAGGAGAGGGTGTTACAGGGCGCAGCATGTGGAAGAGGAGAGGGTGTTACAGGGCGCAGCGTGTGGAAGAGGAGAGGGTGTTACAGGGCGCAGCGCGTGGAAGAGGAGAGGGTGTTACAGGGCGCAGCGTGTGGAAGAGGAGAGGGTGTTACAGGGCGCAGCGTGTGGAAGAGGAGAGGGTGTTACAGGGCGCAGCGCGTGGAAGAGGAGAGGGTGTTACAGGGCGCAGCGTGTGGAAGAGGAGAGGGTGTTACAGGGCGCAGCGTGTGGAAGAGGAGAGGGTGTTACAGGGCGCAGCGTGTGGAAGAGGAGAGGGTGTTACAGGGCGCAGCGCGTGGAAGAGGAGAGGGTGTTACAGGGCGCAGCGTGTGGAAGAGGAGAGGGTGTTACAGGGCGCAGCGTGTGGAAGAGGAGAGGGTGTTACAGGGCGCAGCGTGTGGAAGAGGAGAGGGTGTTACAGGGCGCAGCGTGTGGAAGAGGAGAGGGTGTTACAGGGCGCAGCGCGTGGAAGAGGAGAGGGTGTTACAGGGCGCAGCGCGTGGAAGAGGAGAGGGTGTTACAGGGCGCAGCGTGTGGAAGAGGAGAGGGTGTTACAGGGCGCAGCGTGTGGAAGAGGAGAGGGTGTTACAGGGCGCAGCGCGTGGAAGAGGAGAGGGTGTTACAGGGCGCAGCGTGTGGAAGAGGAGAGGGTGTTACAGGGCGCAGCGTGTGGAAGAGGAGAGGGTGTTACAGGACGCAGCATGTGGAAGAGGAGAGGGTGTTACAAGGCGCAGCGTGTGAAAGAGGAGAGGGTGTTACAGGGCGCAGCGCGTGGAAGAGGAGAGGGTGTTACAGGGCGCAGCGTGTGGAAGAGGAGAGGGTGTTACAGGGCGCAGCGTGTGGAAGAGGAGAGGGTGTTACAGGGCGCAGCATGTGGAAGAGGAGAGGGTGTTACAGGGCGCAGCGTGTGGAAGAGAAGAGGGTGTTACAGGGCGCAGCGCGTGGAAGAGGAGAGGGTGTTACAGGGCGCAGCGTGTGGAAGAGGAGAGGGTGTTACAGGGCGCAGCGTGTGGAAGAGGAGAGGGTGTTACAGGGCGCAGCATGTGGAAGAGGAGAGGGTGTTACAGGGCGCAGCGTGTGGAAGAGGAGAGGGTGTTACAGGGCGCAGCGCGTGGAAGAGGAGAGGGTGTTACAGGGCGCAGCGTGTGGAAGAGGAGAGGGTGTTACAGGGCGCAGCGTGTGGAAGAGGAGAGGGTGTTACAGGGCGCAGCGCGTGGAAGAGGAGAGGGTGTTACAGGGCGCAGCGTGTGGAAGAGGAGAGGGTGTTACAGGGCGCAGCGTGTGGAAGAGGAGAGGGTGTTACAGGGCGCAGCGTGTGGAAGAGGAGAGGGTGTTACAGGGCGCAGCGCGTGGAAGAGGAGAGGGTGTTACAGGGCGCAGCGTGTGGAAGAGGAGAGGGTGTTACAGGGCGCAGCGTGTGGAAGAGGAGAGGGTGTTACAGGGCGCAGCGTGTGGAAGAGGAGAGGGTGTTACAGGGCGCAGCGTGTGGAAGAGGAGAGGGTGTTACAGGGCGCAGCGCGTGGAAGAGGAGAGGGTGTTACAGGGCGCAGCGCGTGGAAGAGGAGAGGGTGTTACAGGGCGCAGCGTGTGGAAGAGGAGAGGGTGTTACAGGGCGCAGCGTGTGGAAGAGGAGAGGGTGTTACAGGGCGCAGCGCGTGGAAGAGGAGAGGGTGTTACAGGGCGCAGCGTGTGGAAGAGGAGAGGGTGTTACAGGGCGCAGCGTGTGGAAGAGGAGAGGGTGTTACAGGACGCAGCATGTGGAAGAGGAGAGGGTGTTACAAGGCGCAGCGTGTGGAAGAGGAGAGGGTGTTACAGGGCGCAGCGCGTGGAAGAGGAGAGGGTGTTACAGGGCGCAGCGTGTGGAAGAGGAGAGGGTGTTACAGGGCGCAGCGTGTGGAAGAGGAGAGGGTGTTACAGGGCGCAGCATGTGGAAGAGGAGAGGGTGTTACAGGGCGCAGCGTGTGGAAGAGAAGAGGGTGTTACAGGGCGCAGCGCGTGGAAGAGGAGAGGGTGTTACAGGGCGCAGCGTGTGGAAGAGGAGAGGGTGTTACAGGGCGCAGCGTGTGGAAGAGGAGAGGGTGTTACAGGGCGCAGCATGTGGAAGAGGAGAGGGTGTTACAGGGCGCAGCGTGTGGAAGAGGAGAGGGTGTTACAGGGCGCAGCGCGTGGAAGAGGAGAGGGTGTTACAGGGCGCAGCGTGTGGAAGAGGAGAGGGTGTTACAGGGCGCAGCGTGTGGAAGAGGAGAGGGTGTTACAGGGCGCAGCGCGTGGAAGAGGAGAGGGTGTTACAGGGCGCAGCGTGTGGAAGAGGAGAGGGTGTTACAGGGCGCAGCGTGTGGAAGAGGAGAGGGTGTTACAGGGCGCAGCGTGTGGAAGAGGAGAGGGTGTTACAGGGCGCAGCGCGTGGAAGAGGAGAGGGTGTTACAGGGCGCAGCGTGTGGAAGAGGAGAGGGTGTTACAGGGCGCAGCGTGTGGAAGAGGAGAGGGTGTTACAGGGCGCAGCGTGTGGAAGAGGAGAGGGTGTTACAGGGCGCAGCGTGTGGAAGAGGAGAGGGTGTTACAGGGCGCAGCGTGTGGAAGAGGAGAGGGTGTTACAGGGCGCAGCGCGTGGAAGAGGAGAGGGTGTTACAGGGCGCAGCGTGTGGAAGAGGAGATGGTGTTACAGGGCGCAGCGTGTGGAAGAGGAGAGGGTGTTACAGGGCGCAGCGTGTGGAAGAGGAGAGGGTGTTACAGGGCGCAGCGTGTGGAAGAGGAGAGGGTGTTACAGGGCGCAGCGTGTGGAAGAGGAGAGGGTGTTACAGGGCGCAGCGTGTGGAAGAGGAGAGGGTGTTACAGGGCGCAGCGTGTGGAAGAGGAGAGGGTGTTACAGGGCGCAGCGTGTGGAAGAGGAGAGGGTGTTACAGGGCGCAGCGTGTGGAAGAGGTTGGCAAAGAAGGCGATGAGGCCGGCATCCCCCCAGTTGAGATGCACCCACTTGGTCACACTCAAACTGCCACCACGAGTTTGGGGGGGGGGGGGGGGGAGGAGGGGGACAGAGGAAGAGGAGCAAGCACATTGAAGTTTTCCCAAATACTACGAGGCTGTCACGCCCTTCAACACGGCATCTTGCCGTGACCTACTGGAAGCAAGGGAACCGTTCATTGAACGATTGATCCTTCATCATTCTGAACGACTGGTGAGGAGTTCAGATCCTTGTTCGAAATAAAGTCCAATGTGCATCTTTATATAGCTGAAGGCATGGATGAGAGTGAGTTTGAGGCAATCTGAACTCCTCATCAATCCTTCAGCAATGACCCGCTTGGGCACTGTCGGGGCATCTCACCACAGCACCCATCTCACCACAGCAACCTCTCACCACAGCACCCACCTCACCACAGCAACCATCTCACCACAGCAACCATCTCACCACAGCACCCTTCTCACTCCAGCACCCTTCTCACCCCAGCACCCATCTCAGCACAGTACCCATCTGCACCCATCTCATCTCACCACAGCACTGTGTCAGCGCTGGCAGCCGGGAGTGCCTCCTCCACCGCGTTGGCGCATCTGAACACCACCCGCGGTCTCCTCCCTGCCCTCCTCGCCTCCCCCTCCGCTCCTACCTCCACTACTCCTGCCGCCTGTGCTGCAGCTGCTGCTACTGCCTGCTCCACCGCTCTGCCTGCTGTGGCTGTCATCCCCATGCCCATTCCCGTGGGCGTCGCCATGGGCATGGCGCCTCCATGGTCCCGAGCAGCAGCGACGTCGCTGCAGATGGAGGCGCCACCTGCCTCATCACCCACCGCCCCCCCATCATCTGGCCTCTCCCGCTTCTTGGCCCTGTTCCCCTCCCGTGACACCAACTGCTGCCTCTCACTCTCTTCCCTCCCCTTCTCCCTCCCCTTCTCCCCCCCCTTCTCCCTCTCCTCACTCTCCTTCTCCCTTTCTGCGCGCACCACGCTGCCCCATTGCCTCCTTGCTTCCTTGATCAGATCTGGGAGGCCACAGAAGAGACGAGAGGGGACACGGAGGGAGGTGAAAGGATGGGCCAAGGGGATTTCAATGACAGAGCAGCAGTGGCGCAACACCTTATGTCCGTGCATGAACCTGAACGCTCTCAGTCTTCCCACGCAGCAGCCAGTATAGCATCGCATCGTACCGCATGGCATGGCTCTGCAGGGGATGTAACGACAATGGCATGGCATGGGAAAGAATGACATGGCATATGAAAGAATGACATGGCATTGCATGGAATGACATGGCATATGAAAGAATGACATGGCATTGCATGGAATGACATGGCACGGAATGGCAGGGCAGGGCATGGAACACACCTTGATCGATGTCAATGCCAAGCATTGACTTGACATTGAACTGCCGCACTGCGCTTCACATGCCATGCCGCACACAGGCAGGGGGAGAGTGGCGGGCATAGGGGGGAGGTGGGAGTGGCGGACACAGAGTGCGGAGCGGGAGAGGAGGGCAGCGAGAACCGAGTCAGACTCAGACGAGAAGCCGCAGGGAAAGAAGGCAGGGAGGTTGGGGAGAAGGCAGGGAGGTTGGGGAGAAGGCAGGGAGGTTGGGGAGAAGGCAGGGAGGTTGGGGAGAAGGCAGGGAGGTTGGGGAGAAGGCAGGGAGGTTGGGGAGAAGGCAGGGAGGTTGGGGAGAAGGCAGGGAGGTTGGGGAGAAGGCAGGGAGGTTGGGGAGAAGGCAGGGAGGTTGGGGAGAAGGCAGGGAGGTTGGGGAGAAGGCAGGGAGGTTGGGGAGAAGGCAGGGAGGTTGGGGAGAAGGCAGGGAGGTTGGGGAGAAGGCAGGGAGGTTGGGGAGAAGGCAGGGAGGTTGGGGAGAAGGCAGGGGAGGGGGCTGGTTGGGTGGAATGAAGAGCAGAGACAGAGGAGCGTGCGATGAGGAATGGTGGCGGAAAACAGTTACGTGCGTGCGTGCGTGCAGCTGTTGGATGCGCTCGGCGATCAACAATGCAGGAGGTGGTGATGGCACGCGAGAGAGGGAGGAGGGGTACATGCTGGGAAGGGAGGAGCGGATGGGAATGGGGAGGCAGGAGGGGTTACAACGAGGTAGGGAGGGCGAAAGGTAGGGAGGGCGAGAGGTGGGGAGGGCGGGAGGTGGGGAGGGCGGGAGGTGGGGAGGGCGGGAGGTGGGGAGGGCGGGAGGTGGGGAGGGCGGGAGGTGGGGAGGGCGGGAGGTGGGGAGGGCGGGAGGTGGGGAGGGCGGGAGGTGGGGAGGGCGGGAGGTGGGGAGGGCGGGGGATGGGAAGGCACCGAGGCCGATGGAGACGAAGCCGGAGTTGCAGCCAACGTCGACACAGTCTTTGGCGTGAAACCACTCCCGCCTCATCCACCTCACCCTCGGATCCTCCTCAAACGCTGCTCCTACCTTGAGCGCACGAGGGCAGGAGGTGTGGTAAGAGGGTTGGGGGGAAGGAGGATCAAGTGCAGGGAGAGGGAAAGAGCGAAGGAGAAAAATGGTGGAAGCAGCAGAGAGTTGGTTGGGTCAGGCACCAGGAGTGTCCGAGCTGACGGAGTAATGCTTTGAGGCTTCCCATGTGGAGGTTGGAGCAACTAGTTCAAGAAAATGGGCTTGGAGTTTCATGCTCGCTTGCCATCTTCCTTCTTCCCTCTGCCTCCTGCTCTCTCTGTGCCAAGCGTGCAGCCCTTCCCTGAGGCCGCATCCCCTAACGCTGCCCAGCTTGCCCACCTGCCCTGCCCCCTACTCTGTCCCACCACCCTGCCCCTCTACCCTGTCCCACCACCCTTCCTCCCTACCATGTCCCCCGTCCACTCTCCCCCTCCCCCCTGTCCCCCTACCCCATTCCCGTCCCCTATCCCCCGTCCCTTATCCCCCATCCCCTGTCCCCCGTACCCTGTCCCCCATCCCCTGCCCCCCGTACCCTGTTCCCCGTACCCTGTCCCCGTACCCTGCAACCTACCCTGTAGCCGTAGTAGTGTTTGTAATTGCCGTAGATGAACGCTGCCCTCTTTCGTCTACACTGCCCTCCTTCCTCCTCCCCTGCCCCCTCACCATCCCCGCCCTCCGCCCTCTCGCCCTCCCCTTCCCCCCTCCCCGCGCCACCCATCGATGCCTCTCCCGCGTCCTCCTCCCTTCCAGGCTGCGCCGCCTCGTCACGCTCCTCCACGCGACGCCCTTCGTCGGTCGCACCGACGCTCGAACCTCCGTGTCCAGATCTTTCCCCCACCTCCTGCCGCGTTAGATACTCCGCCGCACGTTGCGCCATTGAGAAGTGGATGGAAGGTAGTTTCGCTGCAGATGCACGTCAGCACAAGGCTGCGCGACACACTCTTGCACTTCCGTTAATGCACCAGCGCGATTCGGAAACCCCCACGACCAAGGCGTGCTGTTGATAGGCGTAATGGGTTCTGGTTTTTGAACGTTGACGGCGATCTGCACCTACGCTGCAGAAATCCCCCACCACTAGTAGCGAGAAACCCGCTTTTCAAACACACTACTTTCTCACCCGCTACCAGTGAACTTGTCAACGCGCTAGAAGTTCACTGGTAGCTCCAGAGGAAGTAGTGTGTTTGATCCGTAATTCTTCAAAATGCGAAGTTGTGCCCACGATATTTGAAGTGGTTCGAAAACAAACGCGATTGGCGATTCTATACATGGTGAGAACTGTACCTCCAAGCCAAGTGTAAGGAATTTTTCCGAATTCCTTATGAGGGTTGACTGCTTCGCGTACAACCCGATTTTCGGACTTTGCACGTTCGGCCGATTTCAACGCTGCCGAGGCTTCTCGCGTCGCCTTCGGTATTTTCCCGTCGCCGAACCTGCTCCAAACGCGCTCGTCCGAGGTTCCCTCCTAGCTAGGCTAGCCCTACATTAGTCTGCACATTCATTGTATTCTCAGTTGGTTGAATCACAGCCTCGTTATTCGTTTACCTGCGCACTCCTTTTACAACTCATAACACCTGGTATCAGAGCTACTTTCCTAGTTCACCCCGCTTTCCGAGGGTAGTTTGGTGGCACGGGTGTGGCTGGTTTAGTGACTACACGACGGTTGGCTGCAGGGATTGTTAATTCAATCCTGCCCGACTCCGATAGTTCGTGTTTTCACTTGCCTGAAAGCCACGGATACCCGACTGCCCACCAGACGAAGTGCCAGACACATGGATCAGGAGGCTCTTGACCAGATGATGGCAGAAATGGCAGAAATGCAGGCGAGCATGAAGTCATTAATGGCGGAAGTGACAACATTGCGGGAGGAAAACGCCGAGCTACGCCAGACGCGAGGTGAAGCGCGTCAGGAGTCGCCTGTGGACGAAGGCGAGGGCAATAGTCAGGCGATGAGCAATCCGTTGGATGCGCTCACACGTGACTTCAAAGAAGAAGACAGGCAGCGAGCAGCAGCAACGTCAACCACAGTGACAACGATCAAGATCAAGCCCGTCAATCCGCCCCCATTTAACCCTAAGGACAAGACGACTACAGTGAAGGGGTGGCTGTTCGGGGTCGAAGTCTTCTTCACTGCTGCGGGAGTTAATGACGATGCCACGCGCATTAATTACGCAGTCTCGCTTCTTCGAGGCGCAGCGCTTGAATGGTGGCGCCGAACCTTGGAAACAGGGACGCCGACAGGTGTGACACATGCGGCAGTCGGGACCTCTGCAGCAACTAATCAAGTGGCAGGATCAATCTTCGGAGTGACCACGATACGCACGTGGAAGGAGTGGGGCGCAGCCTTGCGAAACCGTTTCGAGCATGTATCCGCCTCGGAGCAAGCTCGCATGAAGCTGCGTGCCTGGTCGCAGATGGCTTCTGTCCAAGACTACACGGCGTCATTTATGGGCCTCGCCGACCAAGTTGATGACATGTCGGAAGCAGAGCGGTTGGATAAATTCATCAGCGGCCTCAAATACGAGATACAGTACGAAGTCCGCCGAAACCGCCCGACATCATTTCTCGAAGCTGTACGGCTGGCGGAGTCAACAGATGCGCTGATGCAGTACGCGAGAACGGCTTCCAGGGATGGAAACCGTTTTCGTGGCCAGACCCATCGGGCCACTATCAACGCCTTCAATACACCCGACCGCCCTCCTAAGGGACCGTGTTTCTGGTGTGGGAAGACGGGTCACTACATGAAAGACTGCCCCGAGAAAACGTCGCCAGCAGGGAACGACAGGAAGGAGCAGGGAAATGGGAAAAGTCAGTAATTAGCGGGCCCTTTACTTGTCAAGATAGTAAGGACAGTGAGAAGCCACAGCTAGGGTTGACCTAGCTAGGCAAGCAAGAAATGAACAAAGGAGTGGATGAACTAACAGAGAAATCAGTACAAATAGCAAACCCTAGAATTGTGTACCCCATACAGGCTAACCCACTGTAGCCTAACCAAACACAACATATACAATGTTCGACACACCCCCATAGGCAAAGTGGGGGAGAACTAGGGGTCACAAGACCAGTCAGGGCAAAGCAAGACAAAACAAGCTCAGGGTGGATCTCGAGGATTCCACACAAATTCCGAGCACAAGCAAGTGGTCACAAGACCAGTTCACATACAGGTTTATAATAGAGCAAGAGGTACAATGATCACAACCTAGCAAGAGTAAACATGCAGGTATATATATAGAGATCACAGTACACACAGAGTCAAGAAGTAAGTAAGTGAGGTCCAGTAGGCACAAGGCCTAGAAGAGTGCAAAAACGCTGATGGTCACAAGGCTGAAGCGCCTTGGTGAACACATCAGCAGTGTTGGCCTCAGTGGCCACGTAACGAAGACGAAGCTGGCCGCGCTGCTGCAGCTCTCGAGCAAGGAAGTACCACAGGGCGATGTGCTTCGTTCTGTGCTCCAGTCTGTGCTCCTCACACAAGGCAATGGCAGCCTTGTTGTCGACGTACAGCACTGGAGGAGAACGAGGTCGCTCTCCCAGGTCGGTCAGCAGGTAGGTCAGCCAGCGTAGCTCCTGGGCAGCCATGGCAGTGGCGTAGATCTCAGCCTCACTACTGGAGCTGAGAACAGAGGAAGAACGCGTAGAACGCCACGAGACAGAGCCAGAGCCAAGGCTGAAAGTGTAACCCTGAGACGACCGCTGAGTAGTCTGGTCGTCTGCCCAAGAAGCGTCTGAGTGTCCAGTGAGCACAACTCGGTCTCGCCCTCCAAGCACTAGCCCCATGCCCGACGTACTGCACAAATAGCGCAACACCCTCTTAGCAGCATCCAGGAGCGACATAGCGTGCAAGGATGCTAAGAGGGTATGCAAGGTCAGGTCGAGTGCAGGTCATCAGGTACATGAGGCAGCCCACAAGCTCTGGATACGGGCCACTCGGCTCTACGGATTCATCCGAAGGCAGAGCTGAGAGCGAGTGACCGGTAGGCAGAGGAGTGGACTGAGGCGAGAAGTACGTGAAGCGGAAGCGCTGGAGAACCTGCTGCACCATGTGTGACTGAGTCAGGGTGATGGTGCGCCGTGCTCTGTCCCGGGTGATCTGCAAGCCAAGATAGCTTGTCAGCTCACCCAGGTCTGTGCACGTGTGTCTCCTCTGCAGCTCCGACTTCACGTAGGCGAGTCCCGCAGTGTCAGCAGTGGCAAAGACCAGGTCGTCGACGTACACTAGGATGTAGAACGGCGGCAGCGAAGTGTCGGTGCGCAGAAACAGCGACGGGTCAGCAGTAGAAGGCGCGAACCCAAGAGCCGCAAGTGTAGTCCTCATTGTGTCGTGCCACTCACGTGGAGCCTGCCGGAGACCGTAGACCGGCCGCTGAAGTCTCCACTGGGTACCAGGAGGAAACGACCCAGTGAAGCCAGGAGGGCGGCGCAGCCAGATCTCCTCGTGTAGGCTGCCCTGCAAGAAAGCAGTGCTGAAGTCAAGTGAGTGAAGCTCGTAGTCGCGCTGAGCGGCTATGTGCAGCAGCACCCGAAGAGTCGTCATCTTCGGGGTGGGGGAGAAGGTCTGAAAGAAGTCTACTCCCTCTCGCTGACTGAAGCCTCGAGCAACGTAGCGCGCCTTGAAGACAGGAGGAGAACCCGGTGGCCGCTTCACCCTGAAAATCCACATGCCACTGACGATGTTCGCCCCAGGTGGGGGAACCTCGTCGACGTAGGTGCGTGTGGACTTCCAGGAAGCCATCTCTGTGTCCATGGCTGTCTGCCACTGAGAGGAGTAGGGACCCGCCATCGCCTCAGCGTAAGAGCGTGGGGTCGGGATGTCTGGTGCATCCGGGTCTCCCTCAGGGGCAACTAGCATGGACACGAGATGGGGCAAAGCAGCAGCAAAGCACTGGAACTCCTCCTGTCTGTCCTCAAGGACGTCCGTGCCAAGAGCACACTCACCCCCGATGGACGGAGGACAGACAGACGCAGACTCAGACTCAGCAACA